GAAGACCTCATATATACCAGATTTTCATTTCATATAGCCAGTGCTGAAGCATCCTCGAACCTCTAGCTGTTTTTGTCGCAAACAAAAAGTGCGTTTGGAAGCGATTCCCTCAGAGAAACAGTCACGATGTGGCTTCTAGGGTGCGTATTTGGTGGGTGCAGGGTGTAGCTGCAGGGTGTCCTCCCGACAAGCTAGGTGCACTTTACCCATTCAGTTGCAAGCTCAGCAGGTTCAGAGCAGGTTTCCTGGAGTGGCTCGGTTGTTCTGGTTTCCAGTCGGTGGACACCTAGAGTACTACTAGTAGCTAGAAGATGCTAGAAGCTACTAGTAACTAGTAACAAGAAGCTACTAAAGGGCTCCTGGCATCGCTACTACGAGCAAGGATGCTACTATATAGGGGCTCCTGGCCGTACTACTAGTAGCTAGAAGCCATTAGTAACAAGACGCATGTTGAATAAATCCATTGCCTGGCTGTGCAATTGCCTCAGCATGGCCCGTTGGCGATGACATGTTCATTTTTTTTTGTGTGTGTATAGTTTGTTTGCTTCTTTCTCCTACCTCTTAGGCTCCTTCTATCTTCATAGTTGAATTCTTTCCAACACGTTCATCTCCTTTCTTTCTTTTTTTCGCATGGTGTAAAGAGTCGGCGGACTTGTGCCAAGAGCTGGCAGCATCAGCCCCCCGTTGCTTGTCAGGCGCAAGGGAAGAAAGCCAAATGAGGGACACCAGACTTTGCGAGCTGTTGCACCTGAAACAAGGGTAGCTTGAGACCCAACCAGACAACGTCTCCCCTTGAGCCATTCAAGCAAGGAGCAGGCAGGCATTCTTTTCCTGGCTTGGGCTTGGGTGTTTAGCGGGATATTTGAACTCTTGCTCAAAGCCAACTGATACTTGACGTCCTTGGGTTAACAACATATCTCAAGCGTGTTTGTGCCCAGCAGATCTAAGCTTCACCTCACAAGCTATGAAGACATCCAACTACAGTACAGAACCACCTTATGACAATAGCTACAACAACGGCTATTCCACTGTCTATTCTACTACATTAAAGGCAGACGCAGGTCGCCATGTGCATAATTCAATTGCTGAAAGTACACGGAGCATTCCCCATTGAAGGCATGGAGGTCTTCATGCATCAAGGCAAAGCTCAAAGCGACCGAATCTGATTATTGGCTTTGCAACCTTGTGTATGGTCTCCAAAGCAAGACTGGAATGCTCTGTGTCTTGATGCGTGATGTGATCTCTTCACCTCGATTTTCACAACAACGTAGTCTGCTCATTCTGATAGCTGGACGTCTCTTGGACGTCTCTTGAAGCTGTAACTGGGCAACTGACCATCCTGTCAACGCTTGGATTTTCAACAAGCTTGTTCTTTGACATTCTAGTCTTAAATAGGATCTTCCTCATTCTGGATCGTACTTGTGTTTTTGCATATTTCTTGCTGCTTTTTGCCCGCAAGGCCACACGGGATATTGTGTATTTGGCTAAAGGCCCCGTTCGGGCCCTCAAAGGCCCTGTTCGGGCCGCAGAGACCCAAAAACCGCCATAAGAGGCTTTTAGTCGTCTCAAGCCTTATGGGATTCCGTTATTATCCATGGGCATTGATGGTCTGCATGTTGCACTCTTTGGATCATAATGGGGCGCACCCATAAAGGGATATACTGGTCGAGGGTTTGCTCAACGAGCCCTAGTGCCTTAGACCACGAATTCAGCTGCGCCACCAAAGTTAAGAAAGAGCCCGTTCTGATGTAAGAAGTACGGTGGGGCAGACAACATCCCAAACCAAACTGTCTCCTTGGTGTGTTTGGTGTCTTCTTCGGCCCTTCATGCGACTCCTCGAGCTTGAACAGCGGGACGCATCGCCGCGAGGAAAGCTTTGCCATTTGCCGCCTTTGCTGCTTGTGGTGCTTTGTGAGATTTGCCATTTGCACCAGATTGCCGCCCCAGGCTTTTCAAACTTGTGGCCCGCGCTGCGCATGGGCGAACTGCTAACTCTTCGATTTGTCCATCTCGAAGGGATTTCACCATCCTTTGGTTCAAGAGCAGAGTGGTGCCAACATGTCACAAGCAGCAATCAGGATTTGAAGATTTGCTCCAAGTCATCAGAAACCTCCGAGTACACGTGCATATGAAGCCAACCAGGGGGCCCCAATTCTGGTCGTAGGAATCTGGCCGGGTCGTGACTCAGCCCCCGGCGTTCCGGGGATTGCTTGAGCCTCTCACAAAGTGGACGATCCGAAGATGCTGTGGCTGCTTTTGGCACTTGCTTTGAGCTGCCGAGCTCAGGCCCAGTCTTGACTGCATGCAATGGAAGAGTTTGAATTGGGATGTTGAATTGATGAGATTCAAACATGTACGACAGATGCTGACATGATTTTTGGGATGCTGAACTGCCTCCAGGACTACTCGGGTGCATACCGCAAGGACCGCCACAGATACAATATGACAACATAGACATTCTTAGTCACTAGACCAAGTCATCCGACCTTGTGTTTGGGCAAACACTTGCAAACCAGTCTGTCGGGGAGACTCCCTGCTAAGATATGTCCTGGAGAATCACTGGAGAACAAAAGGTTCCTGTCACTCTCGGCCCCAGCCTCTTTCTCAAGGCCTACAGCTACAGTAGTTAAAATGAGACATCGTAGTTAGGAGCGGCGTCTTGCTGAACCTCCGAGAAAACTCGTGGCTTTGGCAAACTCTTGCTGAACCTCCGTCGTCGTGAGCTCGTGCTTTCGGTGGGCTGTGGGGAGGAGCCTCCAACATTGTCGTGGTTTATGAATCAGATGGTTTGGCATCTTTATTTGTGTAAACACTGCCATAGCCATATCGATTGACAAGCAATGCCATGGCCCATGGCCTATAAGCTGGTTGGCTTAGTATTCCACTTTTCACAGAGGAACCCAAGAGGATTGACGAACGCAGCTTTGGTAAAAAGCATGATCATGGTTTCACAAGCAGACATCTTGGACGTCCGCACTCTTGGATGATCTACACGAGGTACAAGATGTGTTGCAGACCGAGCGACCCCGGCTGTGCTAGTTGAAGACCGCCAGTAGACACACAGGACACCGTTGCATACGGAGCTTTGACCCTGTTCTGAAGACTTCGGAGCAATGGGCAGACTTTGGAATAAACACTGTTGATATTGTTGGGGGGCTCCTGAATATCACCGTGGTGGATGGACAGTTACATCAAAAGGAATAGCAGTCATTTTCCGCAGCCATGGGCACTTCCCACAAATTGAGGAAGCAGGCACCTCATTAACTAGGCTCGCGGTTAGCCAGCCCACTTAGGAAGATTCAGCGCTGCCGCACCGGTTTGCTTCCAGAACTCACTTCCTCTGCAATCCTGTAAAAACTAAAATAGGCCAGCTCTTAAAGCCAAAGCTTCTTGTTACTAGTAGTAAGGCCAGGAGCTACCTGGTAGCCTCCTTGCTCCTAGTAGCGACGCCCTTGTTACTAGGCCAGCCGACTTGGTGAGGTCCCCAACTGTTGACCCAGTAAATCCGGGATATTGACGAGTGCAAATGTTGTGGGCGTGCTAAGCACATAATTAGTCAACATCCATGTTTCTTTGTAGTCGGTGTACACCTGCGATCTCTTTTCGTCTCGAGCTCAGGGGGGGCTACAGCGGCTCTGGTTCTTACGGGTCGAGTCAGGAGCAAACCGGAATTGCAAAGTCTGGGAAGAAGGCAAGATATGCAAGGTCTGGCTCATACAGTCGTCAGTGAAAGGGTCCTCAAGGCACCTTGAACAAAGACCTACACCAAAGGCTGAAAGCTCCTGGGTAAACAATCATAGAACAGGAGTGTTTTGTTGTCGCAGTGTCCTCGGCCATTCACTTGGAGGGTGGAAAGAGTTCAACTTTTCATGATTTCTTTCAGACCTCTGTGAAATGTGTGTAGCAGGACTACTACGGCCACGGAACCTCAAGATATGATTATGGATCTAGTTCTGGATCCAGTTCTGGACACTCCGGGTCCAGCTATTGGTCAGGCGATGGACATTCAGGGTCAAGCTACGATTACAGTCCCCCAGGGTCAAGCTATCACTCCGGGTCCAGCTATGACTATAGCTCAGGGCACTCTGGGTTGAGCTATCATGGCAGCTACAACTTCGCGTCCGGTGATGGATCCTCATCCGGCAGCTCAAGTGGTAGTTCCGGTGGATCGGCATATTACCATGGAGGCTCTGCCTACCACGGTACCAGCTACGACCACGGCAGCTCATCCTACAGCGGCAGCTCTTCCTATGACCATGGCAGCTCTGGCAGCTACAGTGGAAGCTCTGGCGGCTACAGTGGCAGCTCTGGCGGCTACAGTGGCAGCTC